GGTGGGGGTGAGGGGGTGAGAAGTGATAAGGTATATTTTAGGTCCAGGCCATGTCACGATTGACGCTATGCCATGCTACAGCCATGTCAGCAAAAGGAGCACCCCCATGCGCTGAGCCAGAATCTGTACCAAGGCATTGCTTGGTACGTCCTGTCCCGGAAAGCTCGGGATGGCGCCGCATGGCGCCGTTTCGTGCACCCCGGGATGGCAACTGCACGAAGGTACTATCTCACCTCTCGAGGATCGGTCACCACGTCAAACCTGCGTACGACCGACCCTCGTACAGTAGTATAAAAACCCTGAGCTAGCATCCAGCCCAAGGGAGAAAAAACTAATAGATCAACACACCGCTGACTTGCTCATCGGAGGGGCCATAGTCGGCAACCACCCGACGAAGGCCATTCTTGCAGGAAAGCCGATGAGGTGCCACAGTCGGCAACCACCCGACGAAGGTCATTCTTGCAGGAAAACGGCCACCCTCGAGCCACGAGCGTTCCGACCTTGGAGTCGTTGACTAGCGTCCAGACGGCTAGCCACTAATCGGCGTCCGGATCAAGAGACGCTGATCAACACCCCGGCACCGATATCCCATCGCAAGGGCTTGACCGACCTCGACAACCAGCTCAACCGACCAAAGACTCCCGATATCGACCCAAGATTTGGTGTTAGAGATCACACGTCTGCAAAGAGCAGCAACACTGTTAGAGCTCAAAAAAACGCAGCCCTTTCCTTCTCAAGATTCAAACAATCAAACAGATCGAAGGCCATCCCGAGAGCCGCTCCGACGGCCGCAATTTCTCCTCGCAGGAAGCTCTCGATCCGCCCAAGGACTTGCAGAAGCGCCATGGCGTCTCTCTCTCTCTCGCGCGCGCGTCCTGCTGCCTGGGTTGCAGATTCCTGTCTGTAGTCCGCAGCGGACGACGACTTGGCAATAGAACACCGCTGTGAACGAATCACGGCACAACAAAAGACCCAAGTTTCGGACCCACGATTCAAGCCACGACAATTGAAGTACTCTCAACGGTACACCTTATAACGCGAGCATGACAAGAACCGCAAGAAACGACGTGGAGCAACGAATTTTCGTGGTACGATTTACGTTACGACAATTAAGCTTGCCCATAGGTAGACTCCTCGAGTTCTACTCAGAAAGAGCAATTGCATGCCAAATATAGAAAGTTTTTCATCATTCCCCCATTATTAACGAAAACATAAAAAATATAAAGAGTATTTCTGTTGAGACATCCATATCTATTAGTGTATAGCACAAATGATTCGTGTTCAAGTGTCATATACGTTATTTAATGTAATATGTATTTTTCATTAAAAAAATCACTATGTGACATTTTGATGCATCAATCTATGACCTAAAAATACCAAAATGACACAATTCAACAACTAATTCTTTTGCAGATGAGAGACATGCTTATCGAGACAAGAAGCAGGAAATGATTAAAGGAAGAACAAAAAGACCTTTTTCCGCAGCAAACAGTTCACTTCTTTATGAATCTTACTAGATACAGATTGTTCTGGACTTCATTCTCTTGCAAACATCTGAGAAACCAAAAAGTAAATTACAAGAAACCAAAAGTTTGCAAGAATGAATGGAATCCAAGCAGTTAATTTACATTACAGTAGAAGCAATTTTTTTGGACTGCAGACCAAACTGCTTCTGTAGGAGAGCAAATCCTCATCTTCTTGTTTCGGACAACTTTCCACTGGTCAGTGTTGAGAGAAGAAATAAGTCGGAAATTCTCGAGGAGCCCAAGGTTCTATTGAACATAAATCAGCAACCAAGTCAAAGTGGCCCAAAGAATGATCACCGGAAGACATAAAGACCCTTTGAGTTGAGGGCTGTCGTTTGGTAGCCTTGGATATGCATCTGGAGGCGGCATGACACAGTTATCGCCGTTGAAATATATTCGCCTCGGAAAAGCCCAGCCTTTCTGGAAGGTGAAGGCTGATGCATCCTTTTGGAACAGAAGTTCTGATTGTACATTTCCAGAGGGTCCTGCCTGCATCAGCAAGTCATTGTAGTATTTGATGCCCCAAAGCATTGCAGTATCATCTGCATACCAAAAAACCTACTTAAAATGTCACTAATAAAGAGAAATTAAGAACTGCAAGTATAGTCTATGATGCTATCGCATCAAATTTCTAAAACAAAAGGCTATCATGAATAATAAAGGATCATCTTCTAACGTAAAAGCCAAAGGATAAGGTGTCTCATTGTCGTGCAAGGTCATTTAGGTATCAGCAATATGTTGAACTGTGACAACTAAAATGAATCATAATAACTTACTTATGCCTCCATATGGGGTCAGTGAATTGTAATTGAAACTGAAGATTTGAGTGAGATTGTCAAAGTTGGGATGCTGGATAACGAGGTTCCACTGTGTGTAATTCATGCGGTAATTGAAATTTGTTATTGCAATCTTTACGCGCCAATACTCCCTGTAGTTAAGTTTGATGTGCCAGTGCACTCTTATTGGGCACATATGTGATGTGCACTGGACCAAAGGTGTAAAACTGCTTTTTCCAGGACCGTTGATTGCAGAAGCTAAATACGGCGAATCTCCCCTGTAGCAGTAGGAAAGAAATTATCATCACTGAATTAACTAAATATACCAAATGGAAATATAAGAAAAATTATCACAAAACTCACTCGACGCAGCTACCCGGTTGGGTTATGTTATTCTGGCATCCACAGGAGCATGTTGGGCAATTGACAATCGTATCATTGTAAAAGGATGAAAGCGATACACAGCATGTAGGTGTCTTCTGAGCAAGAAACTGGGAGTATGTACATGTAACGTTCCATGTCACTGCAACCAAACAGCGAAAAAAGCTTAGAAAAAGGGAGCATAGTTTCTTGAGATCCAATTCTTAATATCCGCTAGTCCTATGTTCCCAACAATCACCAAAAATATGGGGGTGGAGCTTATTCTGCTTTTATGAAACTTCCAAAGATTCAGACAGGAATAGCACTAAGCAGCCGACAATCTGTTTCTCATAACAAAGTTTTCTGCATGAGATGAATGAAATTTTGGCTGCACTAGTTTTATTTGCAACAGAAACTTGATATCTAATCCAAAAGCTAATTTGTGTTATGATTAGTCCAATAACCTGAGAAGTTTTAATCATAACTTACTCAGAGCTTGGGTGGTTCTTCTTCCATCTTGCGAGACAAACCTACTAGGTTTTACAATCTTTGCAGCTCCACATGTATACCCGGGGCCGGGAGACTTCAGAGTGAAGTTTTTGGGCACACGGACAGTCTTGTTGGTTGTGCCTGCTGCACCCACACTGATCTGGAATGAACTTGCGGCATTGGCGGGATCCTGAACCCACGAACTAATTATGCCCCCCTTGCAGCAGTTGGCAATTTGCATGTTGTATGGAGTTCCAGGAAGCAGATCAACAACGGATGGATCCTTCTTACAGCAATGTGGAATGTTCCCTTTAAACCTTGAGCAATCACCCTGCTCGGTAGCTTGCCCTCCTACCATAGACCAGATCACCTCCTTCTTTGCCCATGTCCATCCGAGCATCCACCCAGGTGCCTGGATGTGGCGATATTGCTGGAAATTGAATATCGTAACAACAGCCTGAGAGAAGATGAATCAATCAGATCAAACAATTTGCTGCAGTTTAAATAGCATTTGTCTTAACTTACAACAACTCACACATAACATTAATCTCAGAAAGAAAACAAAAGTAGAACATTTGCGATATTTCGGCTGTCACCGAAATTAATGACTGAAGCATAGGGAGCCAAATTTTGCTAGGTGACATGCATAGAGTTGTCATTTGGGCATGCCATAGTTTCATCAAAGATTTACTTACAACATAGCCGTCTGGCGCCCACTGCATAACATCCCATTTGATTGTTATGTTCCCATTCGGGTCTAGCGGATCGTAAGCTTCTGCATAAGCAGAATTCGAAGCATGAATTAGTGAACAGCATCAAAAATCAGATAGTTTATAGGAAAACAAAACACTCCATAGAAATATAGTATATGTGGAGGGAAGCACATTCTTTACACCATGAGCATGGAAAATAATACAAACTGTCTCAAATCATTGAAACCGACGGCTAATTTCTCGATGGTGTAAGCAATGGACTCTTTGTTTCTCTCTTAGAAATACTACTTTCTCTTGCAAGATATGAATCTCTTGACAAACAAATATAGGTTAAAACTTGGATAAAATCGACATTAATCATGAAAACAAAACCATCAATTTTATAAGAGTTTTGCAGATAAAGGTTATAAATCTGAATCCGAGTTTCTATTCAGTGTCGACTCGTAGGCGACGCAAAGGGGAAAAAAAAATCTCCCCTTTCCCAAATCGTCTGACGTCTCGAAACACAGAGGATAATCTCCAGCAGAAGATGACTCTGAAGACCCGTAACTCAAGAAAATTGAATCGAATATTGGGGTTCTAATCCAAAAATAACAAGTCTTGAGAAGAATGGAGAAAGCTCGACGGAGAGGGGAGAGGCGGGGACTGACCTGCCGTCGAAGCGAGGGACGAGAGGAGTATAAACAACACCGGGGTAGAAGCCAAAGGTGCGATCTTTGACGTGTGTCTCCTAACTGTGGAGATGGAGGAGCTCAGGTCCATCCCCGTTCGCCGATCGGAGCTTCTCCTCTGCAGCAATGGCGAGGGAGGGAGGGAGGGAGGGAGACGATTCCCGGAAGGAGTGCTATATATATAGATAGCTGCAAAGCACACATTAGCGACCTTTCCACAGTCCACCACCGTCCACCAAGAAGACCGAATCGCCCCTGGCTCGAGGGTAAAGCGTGCGGACTCGAGAGAGCCTCCTCATCTCTGACCTATTTGGATCATTAAAATGGGAAGGAAGAAAAGGTCTCGTGGAAGTGTCAAGTGATTTGGCTGAGCTCTCGACAAATCAATTCGAAATCCCAACTGTCATCCTTGGTTTTAGGACTTCCAAGTCAACCCTGAATTGTTCTTCCAATAATATATCTTTGGAAATGATGGTTATGCCTTTTATTACACCATATTATCTTTCCCCAAAAGGTGAAAAAAAAACAAAAACTTAATTAATTAATATTAATAGAGTTAATTATAGATTATTCTCTATAATTAATTATTTTTAATATCTCAATCCTTATTTTTTTAAAAAAATTATATTAAGATTATTATATTTATAAAATTAAAATATTTGATTCTATTACTTCAATAATTTTTTTAATCTTATATATGAATCTGAAAGTTTCACTATCTAATATAATTTTAAAAATTGTAAAGATGGAGATATTAAAAATGATTAATTATAAGAGATAATATATAATTAATTTTTTATTTTTTTATTCATTTTTTATATGATTAAGATGATGATGTAAGCTAAACTTATGGACATCATGTGATGGCTGCAGACATGAGGTAGGAAGAGTTCATGCTGAACAGGTGGGTCCATTGATTTGGATTTCAAGAGTATCTATCTGACGTGCAATCCACCTCGAACGATCAAAGTCAACCCGCTGTTATACTCGAGAACTTTCGACCCAATGTGGGCCACGTCTGTGTGTGTGTGTGGGTGTAGATGATACCTTGTAACTTCAAATATGTGGTCATTGTCATGAGTAATTTCGAGAGACTTTGACTTGGCATTGAAACCAATGTTTTCTTGTCTTCATATGGCCATAATATATGGTGTTAAGTTTCTTGAAGAGGCTTTATTAATCATCATTTTATGTATCATAAGTAAATTATTAGTTCTCGAGTGTTTGATAATGGCTTCAGGGCCAACAAAACCATGCTTGGTGGGCTACAGCACACGAACAGCTAAAGGTGTACGTCTCCTGGAATCAGCTGCACGAATGAGAGAGAGAGAGAGAGAGAGAGAGAGAGAGAGAGAGAGAGAC